GTTTCCTATCACTTTGTATTGAATTAACTAAATTCAATATTACAGTTCCTCATATCAAGTACTTCACATTTTCTGTTTTTGTTTTATGCAGAAAAACAGATCAAGTTAATTTATTGTACTTGCCTAGTAACTTATTTTGCAAGCCTAGCCACAGGGAGTGTGCATAAATCAACAAAGGATTTGAGTGTGGGCAGGTTGTCTTGAACTAAATGATTTACCCTCTTCATGTTAAGCTCTAAATATAAATATACGAAAACGGTGCCTAAGCGAATTTTTTTTTTTTTTTTCTAGCACATAATCTATTGTTCACTAAAAAATATTAGAGGGAGAAATAGAGATAAGGTTATTGTGGAATAGAGTTTGTCCTTTTAAGTGAAAAACTATTTTATAATCTATCTATCTTCTATATAATAATGGCGAACTTAATAGTAGTGTTAGTAGAAAGAGTCGCAGCACTGTTTTTTATAAGAAAACGTGTATGCACATATCTAACGTGCGTAAACTTTAAATTAAGTAATGATAAAACATACTGAAACATTTTTCAAGTTTTATAATTTGACTTTGACTTAAAAATTGCATTGCGTCAACCTCTCCTTAATTTTTGATCTACAGCAATTCCGTTAAAAACAATTTTTATATATTTTCAAAATTTCGATATTTGATGTGTCAGCATGGCCGAGTGGTTAGTGAGCTAAGCTTCTGAACGTAATAGTCGTGGTTCAAATTTACCACCAGCGACTTTTTTCTTAGAATCTTTAAATTACAAAATATTTGTGAAGGTAAACAAGTTAAATGTTATACACTTTAACCGTTTTTTCTTTTTAAATTTTATAAACTTTTTGGATTTCTAAAAACACCAATAAACGGGGCAAAAATTTGTTGCGTGTGTGTCACGATTTTGATACTGTTCTTTCATAATTGGTCCTACTAAGCTACGTATAGTCTTAAAAAAAAAAGTCCTAAAACCTAATAAGGAAAAAATTTGATAAAACCGTCCTGCTACTCCACATGGTATTGCAGTAGAGGCGGGCAAAAAAAAGCAATTAAAAGGTTTTTCGCTATATTTAATTTTTTGCTATAAATATAGCCAGATTAAAAAAATTTTAAAAAAATGTATTGAGATATTTTAGGCGCAAATTTGAAGCCTTTCACAGCGACTCTGATGACTGCGCACTTAACTTGTGAGCTATCAAAGTTATGCATGTAGTTAGGCGCTTCAATATTTTTTTAAAAATGTAAAATATAAACAATATAAATACCCTAAGTAAAAGCTAAATAATAACGTTTAAAAATTACAAAACTTTTTGTTATATTATTATTAGTTTTTCAACTTTTAAACCACAAAATTTATGATATATTTTTTTGCATGGCTTTTGACGCTTTAAGCGACTAACGTTTTAAAGAATTGCATTACCGTTTCCGTCTAATACAAAGGTAACTATAAAAGACCGTTATTTTTCAAAACTAAGCATATAATAATAATAATAATTATAGTAAAAAGTAACTATTGAAAATGGCTAGTACGCGACCATAAACCATGGTCCATGGCTGTTTTAAAAGTAGGAAGTAGTTTAGTTCAGAATTTTTTTTAAAAAAATAAATAAACGGGGTTTAATAAGCTATATACGTATGCGGAAAAAGTGCGTATGTTAAAGTTTTTTTTTTGCTCTCAAAGCAAATTTTTCTCCACTGTTTACTAAAAAATATTGAAGTAAATAAGGAACAAGTAAAGAAATGATTAGCGTGGATTAGATAAATATAAAAGTAGAAGAAAAGACCTGTATTTACCGATGCGGACAGCTAGATTAAGAAAATAAGGGAAAAGGTTTGTGTGAAATAGACTTACAAAGACCCGTATTTTTATGGGTTGATTCAGCTAGTATTGTAATAATTGAAGAAAAAAAAATTAAAAAAAAAAAAAATAAGTGGTTAAAACTAAACGTTTTAATCAAAAAAGAATAATAAAAAAAAGACAATAAAATTATCAAAAAAAAAGAACAAAATCAGTTGTCATGCTATAAATATTTTTAATATTTTTAAAATTTGTTTTTTAATTACTCTTAAAATACTTACTTGAATTTGCTTGTGCGCAGTTTTGTAAGATTTCTAAATGTGTTTCTTGTCTAATGTAATGTCTATGTTTTATAAAGCATGCTTGATACAAAGTTTATATGCAATTGCACCAGACCACTGGTAAATTAAAGTATGTAAAGTGTCTTTATACCAACTTGTTTATTATAAAGACTTTGGAAAAAGCAATTTTTTACCTAAGTTTTACCTAACTAGCTAACATGTTCCATGTAAATTTATGAATCCTGAAGAAACTACTGGTTAACCTAAATTTAGAGAGGGCTGATAAGGCGAACGTCAATATTTTTCTTTATATTTATTATATATGATAAAAATTAATTATTAATGTAGTGGAAACAATTTGAATATTGAATTGGATTTAATATTCAAATTGTTTTTATTTATTTAATCTACTGGAAAATTTACCAATTTTTTTTTTTAATCTTTTTAGAGCAGATATATTTTTTTTGTTCTGCAGTATATAATGTAAAACAATTTATTAGCATTATAAATATATAAAATTTATCAAACTTTGCTGCTTTATTTGATATTACTTACCATCAGTTGCTATTGAAGGAGAAACATTTTATAATAATTATAGAATAAAAAACCCAGTTTTTTATTTAGGTTAAAAGCCATATATCAACAAACATGTATTGAGTTTTAAAATTGAAATAAACAACAACATGAACTTTTATGTTTGCAATTTTTCTTGTTTCTACCTTTTTACACTTACTTTTTTGTAAAGCTGTGGTAAGTTGAGAGTTATTCTTTTTAGTAATTAGTTAACTATATCAAAACACACTTATGGACAGCAGGTTATAATTTTTTTTTTCTAATAGCTTATTATGCTACAACGCTTTGTAATCTTTTATTATTATACATTACCAAAGTATATCTAAATTCGCTCTTACTTGCAATTGCTTTTATTTTAAAAGTGTTGCAAATTATCTGGGCAAGCTATAACAACCAATAAGCAATATTCTTAAACCTTATTAGTGTTGTATATAATTTATATATGGTAATAACAAGTGTAAGGTTCTAAAAAGAAATTAGGTTATTTTTTTAAAATACTTTTCTTGCTAAAAGATAGGACTAATAGGAACTTAATTTGAACAAAATTATACCAAGTTAATAACAGTCTATTGATTTTAGAATGTAAATTTTAAAACTGTTTTAAAAAATCTTATGTATGAGAATCACAGCATAGACAAGTTTTACCATCTAGTTTATAGTTTGTTACAATGGTTGACTTTTTTATATCTTAAAGTTATAAAACCATTAGGATAAAAAAATAATTTTTTAAAATCTTTATTTGCAAGAAAATATTCGGATGTTTTAAGTTGTAAAAGGTTTTGTAAAAGTATTTGCACTATATTGTACAATATTGGATAGAAAAAACAAACTTTTTTTGCTATTATTTTTTGGTTTTTTATTCATTTACTCAGCTTCACTTATATTATTCAATACGTTTTTTGACATTTTTTTTTATTTAAACATACGCGCGAAAGCTTCTTTTTTAAAATCAGCGAATCAGATTGCGCTTATCTCTGCCTATTCTGAGTCTGTATAGGGTTTCAAAATATTTTTTTATTTTTATTTTTTTTAATTTTTATTTTATTTTGCTGTTTATATAAATTACAATTTTCTTTCACCAAAAATAAAATATAATTACATTTGTACAAGTAACAAACAGTCAGGGGCTCAAAGAAGATACGGATGGCAAAATACCAACCTAATCTTTTCATAGAGCCCCTACAGATCATAACAATAATATATGGTATATATATGGTTAATAAATCAAGTAGAAAAATTAGGAAAAAAAAGAAATAGTAAAAAAGAAGATATAATATTTAAGAATAAAAATAGAGAAAAAAGAAGATGTATCAATTAAAAGTAAAAACATCCTCAATTAGTCAAAAAAGAAGATATAATATTTAAAAATACATATAATATATTCTTTTATAACTTTTTGTGATTAGTATTTCTTATAATTATATATTTTTAACTATATATATATATATATATATATATATATATGTATATATATATATATATATATATATATATATATATATATATATATATATATATATATATATATATATATATATATGTATATATATATATATATATATATATATATATATATGTATATATATATATACATATAATATATATATATATATATATATATATATATATATATATATATATATATATATATATATATATATATATATATATATATATATATATATATATATATATATATATATACGTACATAAGAAATACTAATAGTCACAAAAAGTTATAAAAGAATATATTAAATACAAATTTCCAATTAAATACATGATGTTATATTCAACATATAATATGTAAAGATTACATATAATATTTAAAAGCACAAACTGTTAAATAATCAGATATAATGCTAAAAAAAATTTTTTTTGTATAAAATTAATTCGTTAGATTAAGAACGTAAGTTTTTGTTTGAAACTGAAATAAAGTTAAAGATTTTGCCATATTTAAATTGTCTTTCAGAAAAGAGTTCCATAGCTTGGGACCTCTATAAGTTATACTATATTCTGTATATTTGTATGCGTCCCGTAATCCGCATGACGCCCGTCGAACAACGCATGTCTACTAGGATGTACGAAAGCAACCCTGTCAATCCAATCAATAGTTTATTTTTATAAAAAAACATGGTTTTTGCTTTTTTATAGTTATTGTTGGTGATATACCGGAAATATCAGATCTAAATAAAAATGTTGCTATTAAAGAAATAAAATAAACGCTCTGAAATGCAAATAAGAAATTAAAAACTCTTGCTTTATTTATATGCATTAGAAACGGGTATAAATTTTTAAAATTTGATTTTAAGAGAAAAATCAATAATTCAAAATAAATTTTGAACTCTTTTTACTTATTTCAAACTGTTTGTGAGTACTTTTAAAGCATAAAGCTCCAACTTAAAGCATATAACATATATACATATTTTAATTGAAGATATAACATATAAATATATACATATTTCAAATGAAGGGAAATGCAGGTAACTAAAGTTTTTTAACATTAGTTGTCTACTTTGTTAGTTATTTTTATTTATTTTTTTTTTTTTTTGTTTTATGAATTTTAAATAAGATGGGTCTCAAGGATTATCAGGTAATAGATAAAAAAAAAAAATTTTTAATTATTTTTTACAACCTTTTCTATTTGTTGTGTTATTTAATTTTATTTGATTCGGATTCGGAAAAAGAAACTTACTATTTATAACGAGAGACGTTGCAATAAACCATGTATGTTAGACAGCTGCTTCTAAGCCCTATTGAACAACTATTTGTTTATTTGTAATTTATTTATAGTTGACATATAGTTATTACATTTATACCTCTATAAACTGCTAATTTAAGTCAACAGACACTTATCTATCAAAAACAAATATTGTTATAAATCTAAATTATAAGATAACCGAAAAATACATTATTAATAATAAAAAAAAAAGAAAATTAAAAAAAATATAAAGATTTTATTTTACTTTGGTTTAATAATGTATCGGACATCTTTAATAAAATCAATGCATAATTTGCATAAGCGTTGCTTGGGAATCCAAGCAACGCCCATGCAAATTATGCATGAGTTTTTATTAAAAATGAGCTTTTTGTTTTAAGTTTAAATTCTTTCAAAGATGAAGATGTTTTACAATCATTCAGGGTTAGTTTCCGAATTTTAGGTCTTAGGTAAGATAGAGATTCCAATCCGTGTTTTGTTCTACGAATATTTATGGAGTTTTGATTTTCGTTTCTCAGATTTGATTTGAGAAACTTTAAAACTTCATTCATACATATAAGTGCAACTTTAAAACTTCATTCATACATATAAGTGCAATTTTTAATTTTAATTTAAAAATCTCAATGACCAAACAACGCAGGTTTTTATGATGTATAGTTAAAGTATAGCTCTTTATTAAGAGAGTTTCAAATGGAGACTCATGGTATCTTTGTATTCAATTTATGCGCTTGTTTAGTTTCTTACTATAAAACATCAAAACAAGTGGGCAGTATGAGAAATTTGAAGTTATAAATGCAGAAAGTATAAGTTTACACTGGTTGACAAACATATATGATGCATTTCTTGAAAGTGCATTTATTTTTCTGCTGGCATACTTGCATAAGATGTTCACTTGCTCGTCGAAAAAAATTTAGTCGTTTAGTTTTATTAAAGATAATTCAACAATATCGTATGTTTTAATTGTTTAATTAGAAATAGTAAATTCAAGATTACTATATTTGCTAATGGTAAGGTGATATTGTTCAGGATTTGCCATTATTTCATTTTTTTCGAACCTTATTAACAATTAATTTGTGGCTTTTTGGACGTCGGTAGTTACAGAGGTATTTTCTTGTGTTGTTTGGAGTATAACCATCTCCATAACCATCACCATCATCGTCAGGAAGGAAAACAAATAAAGTACATATAAAGATTTTGAATAACAGATGTCCGAGAATCGAATCTGCTAAATAAAAAAATTACATAAGTGTAACAGCTCAATTCATCATTTATTCTTACTCTTTGTTATCTATTCATTAGATAAAAAGACGTAAACATTATACTGATTTGAATTAAACCATAGCCATCTAGTTTGGTGATTAGTAACGCATAGAATATGCAATCAAAGGCTTTAGAGAGATTATTTAATAAAGCGTTTAAGCATCCGTTGTGATCTACAGCTTTTCTTTATTTTTAACCTTTACGAAAACCTCATTAATGTCTAAATGAAATTGTTTCAAAAGAGCTAACTATATTCTTATACCTATATTCTTATATCTTTCATATACCTTAGATAGGCTTGATAGAATACTGATTGGCCAGTAGTTGCATTTATCTGCTTTGGAGTCTTTTTTGTGAATTGGAGTAATATAAGTATTTTTTAATAGGTTTGAAAAAATGTTGTTAGAAATAGCGTAGTTATAGTTGGTATATTGTCCTTTTGTTGGGCTTTAGATTTATTTAGTTTAGAAAGATGGTTAGATGCCTTGGCAATATAGTGTTTTTATAGTATGTGTTAAAAATATCATCAACAATTTTATCATCTGATTTTATAGAACCATTTCCCACTAAAACAATTTTTTCATTAAGATGTGATTTCTTCTTAAAACATGGCTTCACTGTTTTTGGAAAGGTTTTACTGCCGGTAACATTTTTAGTTTGATGATTTTCAAAAAATAACTTTTTAGTATTTCTAGGAGTCCTACACAATAGTTTCTTTGACGATTGTATGTTTTTTTTACTAGATTCTGTTTTATACAAACGATAACGGTTTAGTTGTCAAGATCATTTCATTATTGTTTTGTTCATTTTTTTTAGCCATAAACACTGCTTGGTTTTTTGTGCATTCCTTTTTTTTTTGGTGCAAGCTTATGCACCAAAAAAAAGTGACTAATTCGGTATCTTTAAATCTCAAAAAATCAACTTTTTGTACGTTTTTTTTTATTTATTTCCTTTATTAGCTCGTTTTTAAATTTTCGTTTTCAAAGTTTTTAAAAGATCTGTATTTAATTATTCTTTGTTTTTGATTGGCGAAATTACATCTAAAGTCCAAGACTACCAGTTTACAAAAGTCGAATAAACCTATTTTAGTTGCATTCGATTGCCAGAAATACTTCGGAACATTTGAGGAGAAGAAGTCAATTACTTTTGGTTTATGTAAATTTTAAAAATAGGTTTATACTTTTAAAAGAGACTTTAATTTATGCATAATGCAAAACTCTTCCATAAATTCATTTTTCATCTCAACATTAAAATCGCCCATCACTATTAATTATATATATTTTTCTAAAAACTTTTTGAGACTTTTTCCGCGATTTATAAGAAACTGATTGATTGACGAGGTTTTAGAATTATACCCGCAGACAATCAGCCATTTTCTGTTTCTTAAACTTATATCTACTAAGAAGCATTCATAGTTTTTATCATCATTAGTTTTTGTTAGAATCTTAGAGGGTATATCTTCTCTAATATGGCATTATTCCACCTCCGAGTTTTGATCAATCTAATCTATATGGTTTGAAAAAGTCTTCATTGAGGAATAGTGTTGATGGGAAGGAGTAGTTGATTTTAGTTTCAGATATCATTAGTATATTAATTTTGCTTTGAGTTATTTCCTATAAATGTTCAAATTTATTTCTAATTGAATTAATGTTTATGTGACCGATTAGTATTTTAGTTGGATGTTGACTTTTAACAAAATGAAGTTCTAACTGATTTCGGTTTGATATGGTATTATTAGGAGCAATGATATTTAGTAACTGTTATGGATTGATGCCAATCAGCGTAAATGCATTTTTTAGCTTTTTTAACTTTTTGGGTGGTGGAGGCAACGAACTCTGTTAACTCGAACAACAAAACGAAAGGGCTGACCCAGATTGTTATTATTCAGTAGAAGATCATTTAATCTTTTTTTTTTTTTATATACATAATTTGTTAAACTTTGTTTGATCAGCAAAACTTCTTTCAGGGCGTATAAAATAATTATCACTTTATAAGATACCCAGACCGCATAGATATTGTGGTCCTTCACTGGTCACGTATAGGCTGCCAAAGCTGACGAAGCTCCGTTTTGCTCTAAGGATTTTTCATGGACCAGCCGTGGAAGACAGCGATGGCAAAACAGCGGCTAGCCAGTACTGAACAAGAACTTGCAGAAAAACGATTAGCCATTTATACATACATATTTTACGTACGTATTTTTACCGCACCATCATGATTTTGTCTTTGTTAACTAACTGGGTCGCGCATAGGATTGTTATGGATTTTTATTGGACAACCTATTTGCAGTCCCTATACTTTCCTTTTAAACCCAGTCTTCCTAATTATTTTTCATTAGTTTAAGGACAATACAATGTATAAACACATGATTATTGACAATTTTAGTTATTATGATTAAATTTGAAAAACAGGCCTAAGTTTTAAAAAATATATACGTCATTATAATACAAAGATTTAATTCATAATCATTCGACAATGGTGCTTTTCTTCGATTCATATCTAATCGTCAACATGATTCGTTATAAACTTCTGCTTCAATTTCTAACGTTATTGTCTTCTTTAGTACTTGCATCCCTTTTAACATTAATAAAACAAAAACAAACAATAGTACAACTGAATAATTTATTAAATAAATACTTATACAATATAGTAACAACATATAAACAAAATAGTCACAACTTATAAACATTATTGTTATCATGTTTCAGTAACAATCATTTTTATTATTGACGAGAAAGTTCAATTAAATAACAAGCCACAGTTAAATAGACTTGAGTTTAGGATCTTTCTATTACTTTGTAAACTAAAATGTAATGAATATTACAAAGAAAATTTACAATTACAAACAAATGCAGGATACTTAAAAATATATTCATTAAAACATGTGGCACTTGGACCAAAACTCCAATAAAATTTTTTTGAGATTTGACATTTCATGATATTTAATTTAATCTACAGCAGATTCTAAATAAAGCATGATACACAAATTATCCTTTTATTATAGATAAATAACTTTAAAATGTTGCCATAGTATAATTACAATTTAAAGCATCTTAAACATTTTTTTATTTAAAATCTGTTTAGGCGGTTCTCGATGACAAGATCTTATGACCATCTGCGAGTATCTGCGTTCTTATTGTAAATCAACAAAATTTGTTACTCTTGTTGTATGTATTTTATTCATTCTTTTATAGTAAAAGTTGTTTTGAAAAACAAAAAATAGTTGAAAAATTTAAAAATAAAAATTAAAGTGCCTCTAACTCTTCCAAATTATTTTTATACACTGTAACTATTTTATAAAACACAGTAAATCTAGTGATTAGTAATAGTAAAAATAAGGGGAAAAAACTTTTCCTTCTCTTAAACACTGAAAACATAAATATTAATAACTTATTTGATTAAGTATAAACTTACCAGATTTAGATCAACCATTTAACTTGAGATTTGGTATTTTTGCGTCAACATTACGCTTATTTCCATAGCTTCATTAATATTTACTAAATTAATGTTGTGCCACATTAATCATCACAAACAAACTCTTAAAACAAAACATCAATACTATTAAATCTAATAAATAAAATTATTTTAAGTTCCTCATATAAAATAACAAAATAAGAAAGAGCATCAAACCTATGGAATGGAGTTATATCACAGTTGCAGAAAGTTTGGAGCATACATACTAAAGCGAAATATATAAAAATATATGCTACATACTAAAACAAAAATCAAGTTAATAGCATCATTATTCGCAACTCCTTACAACTTTTAATGAAAACGTTTTAAAAATGAAATTATATCTAAAAATGACTTTGGAAGTTTGTTATTAGAGCAAATCAAATACTTGTTGGAATTATTAGATAAAAGAAATATAGCATTAATAGTACGTCGTTATTTAGACCTCACCTTGAATATTGAACCCCATTAAGGAGTGTACATAAACGGAAACATGTTGTTATGATTAAACAACTCCAACATAGGGCAATTCGTTTATTATATAGTTATAATTGTATATTTGTATAATAACAAAAATAGTTTAAAAGACTTATCATCTAAAAACTCACTAATAAACCTCTCCACATAATAAATTCTCTCCACATTAAAAATTAGAAGATCAAAAGGTGATATAACTATACAGAACTATTAATGAATTGGATTTATTAAACTGGCATAGTACTCCTATATTTATAAAAACTTAGTTATATTTTTAACACTCTACGATAAATATATACAAAACTGTGAAAAACTGTTAAAGTCTGGCATCTATTTTTGTTAGAATATACACTAATAATGTGTATCACAACTTTGCTGTTTTATTTATTGTAAATATAAGTAAATAAATTAGCAAATTTATTTGAAAAAAATTTTATATAACAATTAAACTCCAAGAAAAAAAAATTAAAAAATAAAGTCAACAGATTTTTCCAATTATTTTGTTAAAAACATTTATATGTTCAATATATAGACTTGGTAACTTTTTCTATTTAGTGCTTCATTAGATAGTAATACTTAGGTATTCATTTTTACACTTGAAAAACTTTGCATAACACAATACCATTCTTATACTGTATTTATAATAAAAATGTTATCTTTATATTATTCCTATTTAACTATAAAAATCTAAAAGATAAATGTGTTAACAACAATCAAATTTTATTACAGAAAAGTTATGAGCATGACAACAATAAGACCATAAAAAAAAAGCATAATTGTTTAAGTAATCTACCCAATAATATACATACACTTTATATTTTTCAATTTCTAACAAACCAACATTTCTATCATTTTTTTTTTAATCAATATCAATCATTTTTCAGTTACCATAATTTAGGTTTTTTGTTTTTTGAACTAACTTAGGTTTTAAGTTTCTTAAACCAGTTTTAGCTTGGTAAAAAAATAAAAATTTAAATAATAAACCAACTTAATGGTTAATGTTTGATGTAAACAATGTTAATATATCATGATCGTTATGTTATTTGTTGTGTAACAACACAATCTATACAAAACTTTATTTATAATTTTTATAACAATTTTTAAAATTTATTTAGAAATTATTATGTACGCAATATAGAACCACCTGAAAGTACTTTTTTTAACAATAACATTTTAAGATATATTAGTATGTAAAGTGAAAAAAACGACTTTCAAGATGGATGCAAAAATCTGCGCAGTAAACGCAAATGCTCTGGCTTATATCATCGCTAATTCGATTTTACCACTGATGGACCAGTATCGGCTGTTTTACCATTAATGGTTTTTTTGGCGGCTACCCAGCTTAGGCAACTTTATTAAGGCTTGGCAGTGGCCCTAATACGGCTTCCCAGAACTAGCAATACAAGAACGGAACTTTATCGGGCCCTTAAAAAATTCGCTGGCATTGGCTAGCCATTATCGGCCCAGTATATACTTGCTGTGGGGGTACAAGGCTTTCTAATAACTATACTTTGTGAGATTTTTTTAATAATTATTTTTAAGACTTTTTAACGTTAAGATATACAAACGCAATGTAGGTGCAAATATTCCCAAATACCAAAGGTATTTTTTTGCATTTCAAGAATGATTATTATTGATCGTATTGATGGTTTTTTAAAACTTTTAGAAAAACATTCAGGACTTTGATTGGTTTGTAATTACTAATATTTGTTAGTTCACTTTCTTTGAATATATAGATAACTAAAGTTTGTTAGTTCACGTGTAGGTAACTTGGCTTTCTTTAGTTTTTCTAGAAAAAATCTTTGATTTATTGAACAATAAAAATATATACATATTTTATCTATACAATAACATAAAAGATATATGTATCTTTTATGTTATTGTATGATTTAATGACTATGTTTCCTATGGATCTCTGCGGATCAATTGCTTTATTGGATTTAAGCATTTTAAAAGTTTATTTAAATTCTCTAAATAATTTTTCAAAGCATATAATAATTTACAAAATTTTATTGGATTTAACATGTGTTAAAATTTTTTAAATAAATTTATTCAATTTACTCGCTATCTTTTTTTATCGTCCAATTTTTAACCTTATTTTTTATAGCTTTAAATCAGGAGCATGATTTTAATTCACAATTGCCTGTCATTTTACCAAAACTTGCCATTTAAATTTTATTTTTATTTTTTTATTGGCAACTATTTTTTAATTTTGAATTGTTAAGCATATTATTTTTATAATATTTTGCTTACAGATCTTTTTGTTTCGCCAAATTGTTATGAAAAAAGAATATAGATAACAAAAAATCAGGTACAAAAATAGCCAGGATAAAAATTACCATTTAAAATGGCTTTTTAAGAGCAGCTCTTCTTAAAGGTTTTAATGTGTTGTTATTTTTAACAGCGTAAAAAATTCTTAGATTGTGCCAAATGGTCCAAAGTTTTAAAATTTTAAAGGTTTATCTCACTCATTACTTCGTAAACCATTGATTTATGTTGTTATTTTTCACAAATACTTTTTTGTGACATTCCACTTACAAAATGCAACAAGTGTTTCATTACATCAAAACAGTTCATATCCAACCAAGACGTTGTGTTCCACAGAGCATCATTGTATCATCACAAGGTAAATGTATCACGGTAAGCCTTGAGAAGCGTCATTATTTATTTTTATTATTTTTATGACTTCAAGTGCAAAAATGGCTCCTGACAGTCTTGGTTTGGAACTTAGAAAAAAATTTATTGGCGATAACGTTAGTTGGATGTCACAAAAAAGTATTTGTGATAAATATCGCATGAAAAATGGACCGTATCAAGCCTATGTTGCAAACGTCGTTCTACGGGGAAGTTGGCAGCAGATAACAAAGGTGGAAGACCGCGTTTCACCACTTCTAGAGAGAATTCTATGATCGTCAGATCCGTCAAGAAAGATCCCTGGATATCATCAGTTAAGATACAAAAGCAATTAGAGCTGCCTTTACCGGACCGAACAATCAGAGGACGTGCTGTTGAAGTCGGATTGTTTCGACGCCCTGCAAAGAAACCCCTGATTTTATTAAAGAACCAGAAAAAAAAACTCCCATTTGCTACATCCCATATTGACTGGAATGTGCAGAAATGGCAAACTGTCCTGTTCAGTGATGAATCGAAGTTCAACATCATTGGGAGCGATGGCATTTGCCGTGTACGTCGACCGGCCGGAAAACGCCTCGATTTACGTTACTGCCATAAGACCGTGAAGCATGGTGGAGGCAATGTAATGGTCTGCAGGTGTTTTTCTGCTAACGGTCTAGGTCCAAAACATCGAATTGATGGAAAAATGGACCGTTTCATGTATAAAAAAATCCTGTAAGATTTTAACTTACCTCATATTGACAGGAATATGCCAATAAATTGGGTTTTTCAGCAAGACAACAATCCGAAACACACTGCAAAAGTAGCCAAGCAGTGGTTTTAATTCAACCACCTATTGGTAACGGATTGGCCGCCTCAATCTACGGATCTCAATCTTATTGAGAACCTGTGGGAGATTGTCAACCGCATATTTAAAAGTGAAGGTGTTTGTAATAAGGATCAACTGTTTGAAAAAATCCAAACGGCCTGGGCAGCAATTCCACAAAGTTTCATTCATCACCTGATTAAATCTATGCCTCAAAAATGCTAGGCTGTGATCGACAACAAAGGATTTGTCACGAAATATTGATAGCAAAATACAGCTTGGTCAACATTTTGTAGAGTTGCACTTGTTTGGTCCAGAAGGAAATCAACTTTTTATAATACTTTTGATTAATTTGATATTTTTCGTGTACAAATAATGAACTTTGTGATGAATAAAATTTGAAGAACGTTGTCTCTAAACAGTTACATAGTTATTTCTCTAAATAAAAAAAAAACACTTTTGTATAAAGAAACTAAATTAGCATTGATTAGTTGTACATGTTTTGTCCGATACTGAATATATATATATATATATATATATATATATATATATATATATATATATATATATATATATATATATATATATATATATATATATATATATATATATATATATATATATGTATATATATATATATATTTATAATATTTTGCATGAAAACTACATTTTTTACCATTAGGAAACCACTCTTGTATCTGTTGAATCAAACTAATTTGTCAGACAGTCTTATACTATCTTGTTTTATCATCCCATGTACAATGTTAAGACTGACTAATACCCTTGCTCGATATGCAT